CCCAAGGAGCTGCCGCCTCTGTCGACGAGGGCCGGAGTTACTCGTGGCCCACTTAGAGGGACGGAGGGGGATACTGGAGCGTCCCAGATCCCGAGTGCTGCTAGGGCCGATGCGCTAACCCGCCCGCACCCTCCCCAGACCCCTCCCCAGGACAGAAGGAAATTCACCGTGGAGTGGGCCGCCTCGGCGAAGAGCGTGGTGGCCAGCCCGCTTGCCCCTGTTTCGTTCTCTTTAATACCTGCCCGGGCGTGGAGCGGGAGGCCTGAAAGCCCATAGCCCCCGCGGGCCTGCTGTTTGTAGTCGGAGGCATCAGCCGGCAGAGGGGTCGGGGACAGCGCTGGTCCCTCCTGGGGGGCCGAGTCCTCGTCTGTCCCGTGCCCCACGCAGCCACTTCAGTGGGAGGGGATAGATCAGGTCTTCACATTCTCGGGGCGCGGCCCCCAGGGCCAAGGACAGTCCGTGAGGACAGCCCAGGAGGGCGCCCAGGGCAGAAGTGTCAGCTGCTGGTTGGAGAGACCTCCTCCCCCAAGTCTGCAGTTGCTCCTTCCACAGCCCTGGGAGCTGTGTGCACCAGGAAGCCGCTCCTCCGAGAGCCCCTCGCTGACTGCCAAGTTCCAAACACACCTGTGTCTAGAGAGCACCCCCGACGCCCCGACACCCCCGCCCCCCGCAACAGTCTAAAAGACTTGCTCTGGTCTAACGTTCTCTTTTGGCTAAGAAGAAACAGGTCCAGAGGGATGGAGAAAACCAAACTTCCTACAAAGCGTGAGGCACCCTGTCTGTGCCTGTCCCGCTCAGAGCCTGGGCTTCAGGGCTCAGGGCTCAAAGCCAGGCTGGGCCCTGCTCCCTGACCCGTGGGAACCCGAGGAACTCACTGGCCCTGCTCCCTTTCCCTGCCATGCCAGTCGGGGCCATTTCCCCTGGTGACTCACACGGGCTGCTGGAAAGTGGGCAGCTGCGCTGAGCCCCCGGAGCCCAGCACAGGCCCCGTCTGGCAAACCCTGTCCCCCCCCCCACACACACACTGTGCAGCTGTACTTGGGGATGTAATCCCTTTTTCTTCCTTGGAGAATCTCCGTCCTCCAATCCCTTCAACCGTCCCCATCTTCAACCTCTCCCCCCGCCTTTTTTTTTTTTTTTTTTGGTTTTTGTCCGGTACCGGGAACCGAACTCACGACCTTGCGCTTGCCAGGCAGGCGCTTTGCCAATGAGCGAAATCCCCAGCCCCAAACCTCTCCCCCCTTGAAGGCTCCTTCTCATCGGCAAATAGTCTTCGCTATCTTTGAAAAACAGAAAGCCCTCGTTCAACCCCACATCCTTCTCCAGCTCCACTTCTCAGCCAACTTTTGTGAAAAAATTATGTACACACATTTCTACTTCCTCCCCCTTCATCCCACAGGAGCAGTCCTCAAGGTCACCACTGACCTCCTTGTTGCTAAATCCCAGGATGCTTGGGTCTCTTTATCTGAAGTGACCCCTTAGCAGTGACTGACTTTGACACAGTCAGAAATACTCCCTCCTGTTCAAGATGCTTTTGGACCCTGTTTTGGGACACTGTGAACTCCTGATTCTGGTTATCTTCCTAGCTGTTGCTGTGTTGCTCGTGGCTAATCTTGGCTTTTTCTGGGCTCTCTACAGTTTATGCCTCGGAGTCTGGTGGGTTCCCAGGGCTTCAGCATCCAGTTTGTGTAGAGACACTTCTGTCTTTCAGCACAGACCTCTTTGCCCCACCTTACACTTGCCTCTTGAGCCCTCAATGGGACATTCGACCTTACAGCAAAGCCCCACATCTGCCCTCCATTCTGTGTTCCCTAGCTTGGCCATTTTCCAGTTGCCTGAACTCAAAATCCAGACTTCGTTCTAGCCTCTGGGACACAACCCCCCCATTTTATTTTATTTAATTTTATTTATTTTTGACTTTTTGATACAGGGTCTTTTGCTATGCAATTCAGGCTGGCCTTGAGCTCACTTTGTAGCCAAGGTTGGTCTCAAACTCAAAACTACCCTCCTGCCTCAGCCTTCCGAGTGCTGGGATTACAGGCGTGTGCCACCACACCCGGCTCCCCGCCCCATTTTAGACAGGGTCTTGCTATATAGTTCAGGCTGGCCTTAGACTCATTGTAGAGCCCAAACTGACCTCAAACTTGTGATGATCCTCCTTCCTCAGCCTCCCAAGTGCTGGGATTACAGGTGTGAACCACCATGCCTGGCTGTCTCTACCTTTTGATACTCAAGCAGTTACAAAATCCTGTTCTCTCCAAGGTGTATCTAAAACCTATTGCTTTGTTCACTCCATTTCCGTTACCCACACCTGGCCCAAGGCTCCATCACCTTGCACCTGGGGGGCTGCAGCAGCCTCTTGACCGTCTCCCTACAGCCACCCTAGATCCCATATGTGACCTGTCCCTAGGGGAAACCAGGGTTGTTCTTCCAAAGCACGAGTACAGCGTCTCAGCAGCAAGGTCACGCACAACATATTAATCCCAGTGCTGGAACATTTCCCACTCCCTTGTCTTTGCCTGAGTAACTTCTTATCTTTCAGTCCATGCGTCAGTTCCTTATGAGAGCCATTCTCAACCCCTCACCAGGACAGGTAGCTTTGCTAGTGCTTCTCCAGCACCAAGACCTTGGGTTCTTGCTATGCAGTTCAAGCAGTCACTTGCAAGCTAAGCCGGACCCCTGAGTCCTCCTGTTCCAGACACTGGGATGAATGTTACACAGCTCTTGCCCTTGGTTAACTCATAGACAGGCATTAAGCGTGGAGCAGCAAGTGGGACAAGCAGGCACTGTGCGGCGGGGTGGTGGGGTCAGGGGAGCCTTAGGAGGAGTTGTAGCTGCCTGAAGGGTGAGTGGGGCTCTGAGGAAAGCTATTCCAGCCAGATGCCAAAAGGTGGGACGAATGCTTCGTGAGGAGCTGAATGTGGCCAATGTGGCTGGACAGGTGATGTGAAGCCATTGTTGAGATTTATTTTTTTATTTATTTATTGTTTGTTTTGTCTTTTTGTGTATGTGTCTTTTTGAGACAGGGTCTCACTATGCAGTTCAGGCTGGACTTGAGCTCACTTTGTAGCCCAGGCTGGCCTCAAACTAGCAGCGATCCTCCTGCCTCTGCCTCCTGAGTGCTGGGATTGCAGGCGTGCGCCACCACGCCCCGCCATTGGTAAGATTTAAATGAGTTACATGGTGGGGTCCTGCTTTCTGTAGAAGAACATTAGACTGGAGGAAGGAAGGAAGCAGGGAGACTGGTCTGGCCGGGGGTTTCTGCAGGAAACTGACAGCTAGAGGTGGGGCCTCGCTCAGCGGGTGAGGGTAGATCGGGGTACAGTGAACTGTGCTGGCCTAGACTGGAGGCTGGGAAAGAGAGAGGAAATGAAAATGTCTCTGGTGCTCATGCCCCAAGGGTGGGTGGGGGGATGGCAGTGGAGCTGGGACACCCATCTCTCTTTGGCGTGCAACCCCTCTCCCACCTGGTGTGGGTTTATCTGACGTCCTCCTGTGGTCTCTCATCCATCCTTTTTCCTAGAGGACCAGACAGGCTCTAGACAGGCTCTGAGGCTGAAGGCTACTGAGATGGGCTAGTGCAAGGCAGAGGGGAAGGGAAAGAGGAAGTCGGGTCGGAGCCCGGATGTGATGGGGCTTCAGAGAAAATGGCATTTGGGGTTTCCTCAGAGACTGGAAATTCCACTGTCTCTGGCTCTGCCCCAAGACCCCAATCCTGAGATGCTTTTTGTTTTGGTCTTTTTGAGACAGGGTCTCACTATGCAGTTCAGGCTGTCCTTGAGCTCACTTTATAGCTCAGGCTGGTCTCAAACTCAGAACAATCCTCCTGCCTCAGCCTCCCAAGTGCTGGGATTACAGGCATGCACCACCATGCCTGGCTAATCTTGACATGCTTAAATCCTGGGGCTCAATCCTTGGGAATCCTGGTCCCTCTAGGTGCTGTGAGTCTGTATCTGAAGGGTCACAACCCCTTGACAGGCCCCGAGATGGTAAGCTGACGTCAGTCAGTCCATGAACTTCCTGTGGACCAGTCCCAGAGCCTGTCTCCTGCATGATCCCGTGCCATCCTCACCACAACGTTTGGTGGCTCACTTGTCCTCACTGTACCTGTGAGCCTTCAAGGGGTTAAGGAACTTGTCCAAATTCACACAGCAAGGATGAGGCGGAGCAAGGATTTGAACTGAAGTTTGCCTGACATCAGTCTGTGCTTTTAACTCCTGTGCTATATTAAGCCTGTCGACCCCATGGTTGATTGGCTCAGGAGGGGGAGGAGGCTTTGTGGGGGATTTGCTTGTGGTTGGGGGGGCTGCCCCCCCTCATATCAAGCGATGGGAAAGGGTAGTGCTGACGTCAATTGTTGCCGTGGCAATACAGCAACCCTTTCCCTGCTGTCTCCATGGTAACCTGGGGGGGTCCATCTGTACTTCGCCCCCTCCTTCTAAAAAGGGGGTCCCTTAGGGAGGGGCCACCTAATAAGGTGTCTGGAAGAGAAGGCAGCGAA